AAAGAAACGCTTCTGTACGCTGGCGTCCACAAGATCAATATCTGTGCTTCCCTAGTCGCTAACGTTGGCGTACGCTGACGTAAAGTATGAACGTAGCGTAAGCCACGCTGTGAAACGACAGGTGCAAATTTTCTTCGATTCTGAAATAGATAGCGAGAAATTAGGCATACTTTGAGGCAGCGAAACATGTTTATTAAAATATGTTTGGGAGCAGTAACCAACCTTCACATATTGTAAATGCTTCATAACTTCATCGATCTTCGATCTAGCCTCGTTCTGACTGACAGTCAAAGGCAATCCAGCACTAGCGATATCCTCGTATTCTCGCAGTCGTGCCTAAATAGGATCCTCTCAACAAAAAAAACCTCTCAAAAGTAGAAGGGAACTTACCAATCTAGACTGCACGTACGTTGCTTTTCTTTCCAGCTGAGTTTCGATAGAAGCGAAGGGCGTGAGAAGGATAGGCGATGCGATCAGAGAAGCTAGCAATCCATCAGGATCAACCTTCATGTTGTGAGGTGCCATCAGCCGAAAAATACAGAGAATCAATGAGTCGAGGGTTTCGTTAGCAGAAAGTTCAGCGGAATCAATGAAGAAGACGCTTTTTCCCCGGATCTATCAGCGTCTCCAATTCCTCTACTATTGGACTGAAATAGTCCCGCCGATGCCAACGTATTTGGGGGGAGGGGGAGGGGGGGGGGGGTTATCACGCCGCTCTTCTGTTCCTTAACTGCCGAGAAAGTATCCCGTGTTTTTGGTGGGTTCCAGAGGGGGTTCTTCCTGGTAGTAATTTTGTAATTTCAGGTATTACATAATTAACACCTGCATGGGGTGGTAATCCCAAAGGAGCGACTGTAAACTAGTGAGTTAGGATTTTCGCATATGCCTAGAAGGTAAGGAACTTCGGAGAAGGTGAACCCATTTCTTTGTGCAAAATGATACTTTAATATGCTTTGAATGCTCCGCAGAACCTAAAAGCCCCTTTCCCCTTAGTTTATTAGCACCGCACTGGAACAGACAGGCCCAAGTTTAGCAGCAAAGGTCATGCTTTTCAATAAATTTTCCAAAAGTTATATGTACTTAACCTTTCTGCACGAGAATAATCATTTACCGCTTGAAAAGTGCTGGAAATTATTTATACGTTACGTAAACTGCTCTCGCGGCGAGAAGGGAGCAGAACAGCAGCGTGCCGCGTGGTTCCCACCCCCCCCCCAACCCAAATACATTTCGTTCCAGCCACAACATTTAAATGAAATTAATAAAATGAAAAAGATTGAGCACCAAATAAACAACAGGTAAGCAGCGCCAATGGAATGGATGCGTCAGCCGCAGAATCGCGGCGCGGTGCTATCTTTCGGGGCATGTACTTCCCCAATATCTTCAAGTGTGCGTGTACGTGGGCGCTAAAGTACACATTCAATGCTGTGATGATGCAGATATTCTGCTCGCTGCTAACAAGTAAACACCAATAACGTTTGGTATTTTTTACGAAGTCCTAAAATCCCGTCAAAGATCTTGGACATCATTTAGATGGTTGCGCCTAATGTCAGGGCTCATAAAAATCATATCGAGTAGCTATCCCAATAGTCAAGGTGAGAAAGAAAGAGTAGTGAGAGAGAGATAGATTATTTGCAAAAGAATGGGCGAAAGGAACCTCGTGGCTGATAAACCAATTCACTGTGCACTTTGGCGTAATTTTGGATGCGTCGGGTGCTTAGCACGAAACGCCTCACTCTACCGTAAACACGCACAAACTGCTGCGGTAATTATGCCCCTAAACCGCTGTCCGTTTAGGGAATGCTTCTACATTTCGAGAAATGTTGTATAACCCGATTAACAAGGGAAAATGTGGCACTGATAATCAAGTTCTAGTATTGGTTGAATATCAGCTGAATTACGCTTTTAGATACCGCTGGAACAGCACATTTTTTAGAAAGGATCCAGAAACTTTTGGGACATCTTCTAACAAAAGTTAGCAGGTAGGAAGTAAACCATTCTAGTAAATATTAAAGCCGAACATCAAACACGAAACCGCTGATGCCACAATCGTTCTTGAAAATCGATAGCGACAAATCAGTGCGTCACTGAGCCAGCTTAAAAACACACGGACCAACCAGTTTTAATATTCCGTATTGATTTTCAAAACACTCCTAGAGCTCATTAACTACTGTTTAAAAGAACAGTTCACATAGAAGGATTACAAAAATAAAAACGAAAACTATAAATAACATATAACGGACAACCACGACACACGCCTACAATGATCAGTCACTAATTTAAACGGTGTTTCATAGTGAACAAAAAAAGCTATTCCAGAGAGCACGTGCCACTGGCGATAGAGCGAGAATGCTGAGAGCTATGATTGGCCATAAATGCAAGGTTTAGTATGCATTTTCCAAAATTCTAATTTTGTTAGTAGATGTCCACCAAAAGTCTGTGACCATCATGGTCCGCTACGTTTGTCCACTGCTGCAGTACAATCACAACCGGAGGATGCCAGTCGAAGCGCGAAATTTCATTTGAAGTTCCTGACAGCTGGCGTCGCCTACTCATTCAAAGCAGAAGGATGAGAGTTGGATGTTAAACATTTTGTAACATTGTAATCAGCCGAGGCGGTTCAAAGAGGGATGGAATGATCCTCCTCGCGCCGTTTTTACCACTGGTTGTTTTCTTCCTGAATCAGTCTTTAATCGATCACCATTGGTAGACCAAGGCAGCAAAAGGCGGGCTCAATCCGTCCTTCGCGGCTCCAGCCTGGTGAACTATCTCTAAAAGAGCCGAAAGGGGAAGGCATGGAAAAAAATTTCTGTGTTGATTAAGGAATTGCGGAAACAGTCTAGTGAAACAGTGGACGTACGCGATAGATTATGGTGGTCACTAATTTGTTGTGTAAGGACTATACTCGCAGTCATACTGTAGTGGGTGTTCAGATACAAACCAGTTGGTGAAAAGTGACTCCCCAGTGAAGAAAAAGCAAAACGAATTCATTCCTCCGTGCTCAGCAGCCTCGAAGACAACTCTCGCGGCAAAAAAGTTATGGATAGTTGCTGTCCAACTATGTAACATGAGCTGATAGGTGATTATCCTGACATCACAACACCCTGCGATTTCTACGCAAACCCTCTAAAAAATTGCTTTTTCGCATTTTAGTGCAACATATCGTCTAATGCAAAGGAAAGATTACGAAAAACAACAGAAACACGGGCGGAAAACTCCTGACAAAAAAATTCAGAAACTCTTCGCCCGAATCTAGGGTTACGGTATCGTGCATCTTTTAGTGCGCCTCGATCATTTGCACTACGAAAATGGAATCACTCGCCTTTTAAAACGGTTTACATTTGACTGAATGTGCTCCCAACAAATAAAATGTAATAAAAAAGAGCAGAATTATTTATTGGCACCAGCGCGGTCAGCAAAAAGGACATGCACTTCCGATTAATGCCCGCCGCCCCAACAAAGAACAACTGAGCGGCCTCCGTTGAGGGCATCTAGCAAGTGGGCGGTCCAACTGAGCGGGCGTTAGAACTAGAACTTTCAGCGGCTGTAGCTCGCTCCTCGCTCGCTGTGGAGTCGCGAGAGTGGGACAGTCTCTAGCTTGGGGCTGGACTACTTGCACAAGGAAGGACGATCATGTACTACTAAGCGCGGGGCTGTCTTTAAATAATCGGCTATGCCCTATGTGTGTGCTTGTCTGTGTGTGTGTCTGTCTGTTTGTTTGTCACGAAATTCATAGCATACAAAGTAGAACTTGGAGGGGTCGGGTCATGGTGGGGAGGGCAGAACGATATGCAAATACCGCTTGTGACCTGTGGTAAGCCTCGCCAACAGTGGGCAGGGCGTGCGTCAAAGTCAGCGATGTCACTGAAAAAGTCATAACTCGGTTCCAGAGCAGTCCGAGATGGGGGAACAGTGCAGTAAAGTTAACAAAGGACTGACAGGTCAAACAGAGGAGACATATCTCAAAGGCGGGGCGTACTTGAGATGGGTGGCGTTTTTTGCGTGGGGCCCTTGTCGTAAGCTTGGAAATTCTCTTATCGGTGCGCTCATATGTTCAACATGGCATCTTCTTGAACTCTTCAAGGACCGTCCTGGACGATAGGTGTACAGGTTGTCTTGAAGCTGTAGCTGTTTTGATTTTCCAGCGGTACACAAAATACTACTTTCTTCCATTCGAAGTGACTCCTTTGAACACTTTCTTTCCATTCTTCAGACAGTTTTGCTCACTAGTAGTCTGTATGACGATCACTATCCGCTACGTAGACAGCAGCTCGAGCTTCAGCTGCTGGTGACCGCAAAGTTGAAAAAAACCAAGTACTAAAAAGTGTGAAGCGAATAGAATAGTGTGCGCTCAAGTAGTCGCTTGTCGACAGCATTTCAATCGCGTTGGTGTGTTCGGGTATCAAGTTGCAATTTTCAGAGTCACTTCGAAGCAAAAGGTGGTTGTTTATAGTGGCGAAGAAACATAGGACATCCACAAAACGCCTAATAAGTCCCATTTCAACGCCATAGAACGCACTTTATCAGGCGCTCTCCTTTTATCACCAACCGTTGTTATTTATACGTGGTTGTCAGCAACAAATACAAATAGTAGAATCAACCATTGTAAAGAAACAGCAAATCGGCATCAAATAAAATGTTCGCGGCTGGCTGCACTTACGCACCACACGCCACAAATGACGGCTGTAGTGCCAGTGAGGCCGCGCTCATACATGATGCAGAAATGCAGAACCACGGAATGTGCAGAACTGCGGAATTTGCAGACCTGCGGAATTGGGAGAACCGCGGAACTTGCAGAAAAAGAAAATATGTCTATCGATTTCAAAAACCGTGGAATATGCAGAAGTGCGGAATTTGCAGAAATGCCGATGGACCGATCGATCCCTATCGCTTCTTTGTCCGTAATTTCTGCATTTCTGCAAATTCCGCGGAATTTGCCGAAGTGCGGAATCTGCAGAATCTGCGGATTCTGCATTTCTCCCAATTCCGCACGACGGGAACGAACCGATCGATCCCTATCATTTCTTTTTCTGCATTTCTGCAAATTCCGCGGAATTTGCAGAAATGCAGTTTTCAAATCGATACGTATGCATTTCCTTTCCGCAATTTCCGTCATTTCCACAGCGTCGTCATGTATGAACACGGCCTGATGTGGTTTTTTTTGAGGAGGTTTACTTTTTTTTTAACTATTTATACTCTTCCTTCGCACTTTCCTATTTTCTCGTCAGAAGAACAAAAGCTCGCTTTCAGGCTCATGGTCTTTGTGGTGCTCATGAGCCAAGGCCGGGCTATGCTTTGTCGTGGTTTTAAGGCAAACCCCGACTGTCGCCTAAACCTACACCCGGAAAAAATGCCGGACGAGTTTTACGGGCGCAAGTCGTCCACTTCGTTGTGGGACCACGCGTCCCTTTAACTTCATTTGAATTAGGATACTTCAATAAGAGCGGTTTTTGCGAGATTATCGCTTTTGTGCGTAATCATAGTTAATATTTTCGAGATCTGCTTCTGCTTCGATTAGGAAACACATGAAACCTGAGGTGCAACCGGAAACTTGAGCACACCAACTACATCTTCTGTTTTTTAGGGACCACATCCCGTGGTGCCACCATTTTCAGAAGTTCAGCTACTCAGCGTTGGATTTCAGCGCCTACAACCTATCTTCGGTTTTCTGTGCACACAACCGCTGTTATAAGAGCTGTTAGATGTCCGGCGCGCGAAAATTTCCCGTTTGACATGTGGTTTGGAGACACTTTTGACTCGCTCAGTTTTAGAGAGCTCTCGAGGGAAAGAACTGTTGAGTTCAGGAGAACAACAACAAATCTCTGTTAGATCTAGATTCATACTGCAATTCTTCACAAGCCGCAATGGTAAACGAATTCCAGCAAAAAACAACCACAATGTTTTAAATGCAGCTAAATGGAGAAGAACACTGCTGTGTGGAAAGTTAATTAGCTCCCTCAGGATCACTGGCAGATGTTTATGCTGTTTATGTTCTCCCATCCCCCTGCAGGTGAACGAGAGCAGCCCGAGTACATACATGACTGCTGGAGCCATTCTTACTCATGCGGAAGCTCCGCACCAACCACACAGCCAAAAGCAGTATGCACTTAGCAAAGCACGAAACCGGTAACTCAGTATCCACTTTCGTCAGCCTTTCGAAGCAGAAGCAGATCTCGAAAATATTAACTATGATTACGCACAAAAGCGATAATCTCGCAAAAAAACCCGCTCTTATTGAAGTATCCTAATTCAAATGAAGTTAAAGGGACGCGTGGTCCCACAACGAAGTGGACGACTTGCGCCCGTAAAACTCGTCCGGCATTTTTTCCGGGTGTAGGTTTAGGCGACAGTCAAACCCCTTCATAAAATATTGCGGATAATGGCGTTCAGTCACCAACCTGTAGTGCTGCACACTGTACGAGTTCCCCGGGCCTGCTCGTTAAATGCCAGCAAAGCGATATGCTGCAGCCCCTGCCTTACCAATCGTTTCTTCGCATCATCCAGTGCTGACACCATCGCGTGGGAAAAAAAAAGAAAAACGGGGTGCAACGGAACTCGGGACAAAAACTCCCTCGTGTTCCGGTGGACGGGACAACAAGAGAGACGTCAGTGCTGCTACTCACAGCATGGTCATTTGTTATTGCAATACGCGAAAGTGGAATGAACACATTACTTGCACACCCACTACGTGTTTAATGAAGGAATTCTGCCAATTGTATGAGCGTGAGACTGTCTAGTAGTATCTCTGATTTTGCTATGCTTGACACCAGAGCACCCTATGGCGCTAGAGATTTCCTCAGTTAAAGGCAATTGGCACGATAAATCCCCCAAGACGACTAGGATCAATACTCCTGGCAGGATAGAATTCCGCGACCCTGGGCTGCATAGCGGTTTCCCCGAGGAAGGTGCCCTTATAAGGGCCCTATCAAGCCACAACTTTACGTCCCAAACGCCCGCCACGCCCGCCCGCCCACAAATGGACGACCGTTCCTGACGCTCGTATTCATTCATTTGCTAAGCAAATTATGAAGCGAAGGGATTGGTATGAAGCGGCCGTGATGCTGCATGCATACATGGGTACACATATGCAGCCGTATCTTCGGTAGCGGTGATTGGTAAGATGCCTACGGGAAACTCGTCCGAAATCGATTTACAAGTCACTGAGAACGGAGGCTTTTTCTTCGCAGGATTTTGACCGTTTCACTCCGTTCTTTCGCCATTTCCCCACTATACAGCGCCCTACTAGCATTTTAGGCTAAGTAGGAAACCATCGTGCCAACTGCCTCTAATACACATCCTCCCCCATCAGATCCGCGGGACGTGAAAGGAAGTAAAAAAACAGACATCCGACCGATCACTTAACGCAGTAAGCTTATCGTTTCGCCATAATCAACACTCAAGAAATTTTTCGTAAGGCCAAGTATGACCCCTTTTCCTTCTTTTGCGCTAAAGGATCCCTAGCATGAGGCCTGCTCTCCTTAGCACTGTTTGGCATGGCACAATTTTCACTGCTTTGCAACGAGGAGGGTGGTGCGGTTTTGCAATAGAGCGCGCTTCCTTGCGTTCTCTATTGCTCCTGTTAGCTATCCATAACTTTAGTGGTGAACCTGAGCCCCAGAAACCATATTGTTCTTCACTTCCATTGGTCGCTACATCTTGGCCAGAACATCCTTTTTCAGAATGCCTACGTGACACTCACTTAGCAGTGTGAGTAACCAAACCGCGGCGCTCACAATAATAGCGTGATAAATTCATTTTGATAGGTCCCCCTCTGTTTCAATTTGATATACTGTAATGGCCCACGGGACAGCTCCGCGCACAGCATTTTACTCACACCCTTGATAGAAGCTTGTCAGACAATGCGAGGCCACTTTGTATAGCCTAGAAGGACAGTCACGATCTGTGCAAACGATAGGGCGCGTGACGGGTGGAACTTGGCAGATTTCACCAAACGTAGCGGGCTCAGTAAGGCATCATTGGCGGGAACAGGTCGTTCTGGCTGCACTCCAATTCGCGCCGCGTCACAAGCCCTATCGTTTGCAGAGACAATAAAGGGAGAAAAAATTGGCCATTTCGGGGAAGCATTCTAGTCTAGTAAATTCGGAAATATTACAGGTTTCATTGTCACGCCGAGTGGTTCACTACCCAAGGACTCCTTACAGGAATTCTCTGACTCTGATTCCGTTGTCTTATTCTCATGACTACGTGTTTTGGCCTAGCGCCAAGTAACCTTGACAAACAGTACATTTGACAACCAATAGCTTTATCAGGTAGCTATCCAAACAAGCTTCAATGTTTCAGTACTGACCATGTACGCCGGACGAGTTTCCCTCAAAGGGCATGGCTGCGTAGGCGCATCGATTCGTCGTTGTCGTGCATGCCTCAATGACGAAGAATGTCGTCATTAATGACGTTGCCCCGTTATCCTGTGTGTGTTGGCTTATTTCGCTGTTATTTACTAGTAGGAACTGCTGCTTCTATCAAACCGCTACTCTCCTTGTGTTCTTTCTCAACCACTATGGAGAATTCATCCTGATTGTTTCTAGGAACATGGCAGAACCAAACGAGGGTGACTGCCTCGCTGGATTAGATCAGACACTGAGTTCATTGGTAACCGAACAATGTATAGACGATGGTTTGTTTTGAATTGTATTCCTTTTTATTCGTTTTTGTTCTATGAAATACTGCCTTTTTTGTTAAGTTCCTTTCTTGTCCAATCGCTTAGGCAAATTGGCCTCGATATTGTGACGGATTCGCTCGAATGAGCCCATTAACCGATTGCCGCTTAGCCTACATATCGAAAAAGCCTGCAATGCATAAGATTATTAATCTACTGGTCTGGTTTTGTCCCCACTTTCGAGACAGTCCCTGCTCTCAAGCAATCCCTTGGCGTCTTTCTCTGTGCGAGTAGGCTGGTCCTTAAAGACAGCCCCGCGCTCGAGTAGTACATGGTCGTCCTTCCTTGTGCAAGTAGTACAGCCCCCAAGCTAGAGACTGTCCCACTCTATTCGACTCCACAGTGAGCGAGGAGCGAGCTACAGCCGCTCAAAGTTCTAGTTCTAACGCCTGCTCAGTTGGACCGCCTTACTTGCTAGATGCCCTCCGACGAGGCCACTCAGTTGTTCTTAGTTGGGGCGGCGGGCATTAATCGGAATTGCATCTCCTTTTTGCTGACCGCACTCGTGCCCATGGATAATTCTGCTCTCCTTTATTACAGTTTACTCAGTGGGGGCATATACATTCACAACCCATTTCGCGAGGTGAAACGCGTAAAAATCACGAGTGACGCAATTTTCGTGGTGCAAAAGCTCGACGCACTTCAGTGCACTAAAATGTGCGCTACCGTAACCCAAAATTCGGACACCGAGTTTTTAAAATTTCTTTTTCCTTCCAAGAGTTTTTCCTCTGCGTTTTTGTTGTTTTTTTGTATTCTTTTTTTGCACTGGATGATATCAACTTTTGCGAGATGTGATAGAGAGATTTGTGAGCTAGGGGTTGCACAGAGACCGCAGGGAGGTGTGACTATGAGGGAGCGATTTTGTTTATGTTGTTCTGGAGGACGCTTCCTGCTTGTTTTCTTCTTTGGGAGATTACTTATCAGCTACTGTTTCATAATTGAAAAGCAACTATCCAAGACACTTTTATCGCGGGAGCTGTCTTTAAGCTCTGTGATTATCCCACTTTGGTGGCTTCACAATGAGTAACGAAGGCGCTGCAGCCCTTTTCAGTGGCAGTTCTGACGCCCACTAGTTGCCCCGCCCATCACAACTCACAGGCTAATTTCCGTTACGCGTTCAGTTTTATGCTGCGTTTTCCTTTTCTTTCGGTGTTCTAAATGGCATTATATGAGCACTAGATGCGCTAAGAAACGATGAGTGAGCCAGAGGCAGCAGGATATCGCTTTGCTGGCATAAAACGGGCAGGTCCGGAAAACTCGTACAGTGAGGCTGCCGGGGGTCTTCAAGGTGTCTTCTATGATCTTTTTTGCTTTTTTTTCTTCCCTGGATCTTTATAGGTATGGGTTGGTATATGAAGGCCGCTATTCACAATATACAATCGGGTGATTTGTCTTTAAAGACAGCTCCCGCGATAAAAGTGTCATGGATAGTTGCTTTTCAATTATGAAACAGTAGCTGATAAGTAATTCCCCAAAGAAGAAAAAAAAGCAAGAAGAGTCCTCAAGAACACCATAAACAAAATCGCTCCCTGACAGTCACACGCGCTGCGGTCTCTATGCAACCTTTGGCACACAATTCCCTTTATCCCAGCAATGAGTATCATCCATTGCAAAGAAAAGAATGTGAAAAACAACAAAAACACGGAAGAAAAACTCTTGAAAAGGAAAAAAAAACTTTCAAAAACTCGGCGTCCGAATTTAGGGTTACGGTAGCGTGCATCTTTTAGTGTAGTGTGGTGCGTCGAGCTTTTGCACCACGAAAATTGGGTCGCTCGTGATTCATTCATGGGCACGAGCGCGGTCAGCAAAAAGGACATGCAATTCCGATTAATGCCCGCCGCCCCAACAAAGAACAACTGAGCGGCTCTCCGTCAGAGGGCATCTAGCAAGTGGGCGGTCCAACTGAGCGGGCGTTAGAACTAGAACTTTCAGCGGCTGTAGCTCGCTCCTCGCTCGCTGTGGAGTCGCGAGAGTGGGACAGTCTCTAGCTTGGGGGCTGTACTACTTGCACAAGGAAGGACGACCATGTACTACTTGAGCGCGGGGTTGCTTTAATTAGCCCTCATTTGGCCTTAGGGACAGCGCTTTAATACATTTATATCGCCTCTCCATGCATCCTTTGCGAAACTGACATTCATCCATGAAATTTATTTCTATTCACCACTTTGCTTAACCATGAACTCGAGAGATGTTCTGGACAGGGCACGTTGTACGTTGGGTCGCTGGTGGGAGCTGTAGAGTCGTATTTACTCTGAGGAATATATTTCCAGTTGTTGGCTTCTTCGGTTTCTCCTGTTCAAAAGATGGTAGGATGGGGAAGGGGAACTTTGTGGGGAAAGATGTCGTATTTTGCAAAATAGCCCTATTTATCGAATTTTTGCTGATGGTTGCCGTTTCCGAACTTGAAATTTTCAGATGCAGACACAACCTCTGATACAGACTGGCGTTCCGCTAGGTTGTCATCAAGCGATGATAATTGCTCGAGGTTTCCTTTTTTTTACCTTCCATTACTCCACAGTTCTTATTCTGTCTCCGATTCTCAGCTGTTGTTGAAACTCCATTAATGTTTTTTAGCTTCAATGACGCTCTTCGTGTCCAGCAATTGGAAGAAGAACAAGAACGGCTGAACAACTCCTTGTTTTCTTTGAGCTCCCACTTCGCTCAAGTCCAGTTTCGGCTCAAACAGATTGCAGAAGCTCAAGGGGAAGACAGAGAGGTAATTCATTACTATATGTGCTTCGCAACTATTTATCTTTTCTTCCCCTTTTCATCTGAGTAATTTAACTACCGATTCAGCGCACATTTATTGAGTTAACAGTTTTTCTCTTCTATCAGTGCTGTAGACATTGCGCATTTTTTCGTTAAGTCGCTGCTTGTATAGAACTTTTGAAAACACCTTCCGAAGTGCGCAAAAAAGCGGTTTTCTCAGAAATCATGAAAAAACCAATATGTTTCGTTTCAAAAAGTGATGAACGGTTCCGCAGGTAGGTGGGATCTTTTGGTCGATCTGCGGCTGCAAAATTCGAGCCGCCCTGATTTGACTCACGTTCTTACGCTAACTAATCCCGAGCGCACGATTAGTCTTGAGCAGAATTTATTAAAAACAAGCTCCGCGCTCAACCGATTCATAGGTGTCCTTCCTTGCTCAAGGAGTCTGGTTCACAGTCTTCGGAATGTTCCCATTTTCCTGGTTTTACAGTAAGTAGCGACAGCACTGCAGCCTTCAGGTAGCAGTATTTACGAGCCTCCCTGGTTGTACCGCACACCAAAAACGTCCTGTTTACACTTAAAGCAAGGACGCTCAGTTGTTGTCTGGTAGAACGGCGGTCTTGGATCCGAATCGCGTTTTTGCTCACCGCGTTCGTGCTCATTAGTACTTTTGCGCTTTTTTAATACCTTCTTTCAAAATACCAGCGCATACAATCAAAAACAGATCATCTCGCAGGTCAAGACCCGTTTAGTTCATCAATTGTGTAATAGCATTGGTGCAATAGTTTGTCGGATAGCGCGATTCCCAAATCCCAGTTCTACACGAAAGAGACTGGAAGGCTGATTTCTGACACGAGTTTCTTTTCTACACATGCTTTCTTTTTTTTGTCTACTAGGATTTTGTCAGTGCATGACGCGTAGAAGCGAATAGGGAGCCAGGTGCGGCGAGATCTCGCTTCGCTGGCGCAAAATGGGCAGGCTCGAAGAACTCGGGCAGTGAGGCTTCCAGAGCTCCTTACTTAGGAATACCTCAGAATAGTACCAAAACGTTGATCAACTCAAATACTTACAAAACCTCTATGAACTGCCTTCTTCAGGAGCTGCTGAAAAACCTCCAAGATTTTGCATTCAAAGGATGTGCGGATATGAATGAATTGAAGAAGCTGCGAAGCCAAAATGATGATGGAGAAGTACTGGAAATACAAAAGCAAAGGTTTGTATAGTGACTTCCTAATTATGCAATCGGCATGTGTAAAGATCCATGATTGGTGGTTGGCTTGCGGTCACCAATCACAGGGTGGCTTTCCGTCAGACTGCTCTTCCTTACTCGGAATCAAGAGGCGTCCCTTCGATTTGGGTGCGGTTGTTCCTCTCGTGTAAAGGGTTTGCAGTTACTGCTTTTTCTCTCATGCTCACTTGTTTCGGCCAGGTTATTGATGAGATTCTGTGATTGTTGCAAAAGTTGCTATTATTTCTTTCTGAATTTTTCCTTTGCAGACAAAATGAGTTACTGAAGCAATTACGCGAGCAGATCGAAGATCTAGAGCGGATAGCGTATGAGAATGGCGAGGGTGATATGCCAAGTACCTTGATTTTACAGAAGCAGGTGATTTTGTTTGCACTTCTATGTTATTCCTTACCTTTTCTTCGTTCTAAATCAATTCTCGCTGCTGTTCAGAAAGCTGCGCTGGACGAATTACACGCCAAAATGTCCTTAAACCTGGAGTTGGACAAGATGTCGCTTTCTGATATTCAGAAGCACGTGGATGACGCTCTTAAACAGGTTTCTTAAATCTTTCTTAACTGCACCTGCTTCTTTACCGCTCGGAAGGGCCGGGGACGCGGAGTCAGAAAATGACTTGGTGGTGAGTTTTCCCTCCTCACTTCCTACCTTCTTCACATGGCACGCCATCGTTCGGATCGTTGGGGAATTCATACCCGCTCGATAAGGAGGGGTTGAGGGGGTCGGAAGCGAAGGGGTCAGTCAGTATTAGTGCAGGAGGAATAGATTTTACGAGGGGCCCCAGAATCTTCCGCAACAATTCCACAATCGAACAACTCTTATACTTACGAGTTTGTGAACACGAACTTTTTTTGGAGAGGGGAAGCTCCCTAATTTTCAGAATCTGGTTTTATATTTGTAAAGGGCTGCTTGCGGAGAAAGTACTACTTGTTCATTGCATGGAAAATTACTTGTAACTCAGCCTCCACGAGAATCCCACTGCGAAAAAAAATTTTTTCTACCTTGATTGGGTTTGAAAAAAATTAACTCATTCCAGAAATCAATATGTACTTCCTCGTAAACTTGTTTTTTCGTTTCTACTTTTCAACTCAAAAGAGAGTTGAGGTCATTCAAGGATGCGTTACTTGTGTCACTTTCCGTTTTTTTTTCGAAGACTTATTTGCTAGTGTGTGGCGAGATAAACTGTGCTCCTCACATGTTTTGGAACAACCACTCTTTTTTTTCTCAGTCTTGCTCTCGTGTAAGCTGCTCGAGGCAGGCAAAGAGTAAGCGAGATGTTAACATTTGGCCGTTTTCCGCATCCCTGTGATACGCTCTGCTCCTGACGTCCATGTAAGGGAAGGACTGCCCGCCAATGGCGTCGTCCACTAGCTCCGCCCGCACCAGTAAACGGTGTCATTAGATTTGGTTCTCTTCGTTAGCGTCATTGAAAGACTAGACTATTTCCAGCTCGTGAATCCTTTCAAAGAGAAACAGCAACTCGTTGAGCAACTACAAACACAAATTATTGATCTCGAACGATTTGTTAGTTACTTGCAGAAGGAGAACAGCTCCGTTGATGGATCACCCGCTAAAGTGAGCTTCAAAATTTCGACGAAATAACATTTCTTTTTTTGAGCACATTGAATTTAGGCAATTGCGTCCTCGCAGTTCACTGCAAGTAGACCAAAATCAGGTTATTTCTTTGGACTGATTGGCGGCTCTGCGCAGCATTTCCAGAAGAATCAACTGAAGAATACGCTGCGAGGGAACCACTATGGGTGAGAGCTATGTACATTTTCTAGGAATTTTGTCCGTTTTCGTCCATTGTAGAAATTATGCGTGTTTTAATATTTCTCTCGAATACTTACAATTTATACGAGCGCTATGCTCATTTCAGCGACGAAAGAGCACGGTTGCAGTTGGCGGTGGATGCAACACTGCAGGTTATGGAAAAGTATAC